CTATGCCATACCTGGGATTCCCCACCACAGCCCCATGCTGGAGCCCAGAAGGTCTCTTCATTTACCCGAGATCCATTTCCCAAAGTCAAGAGGAGCGCAAAAATCCCAGCTGAATCCCAGCCCTCCCCACCCTGCCACACACCCACTGGGCACCGGGAACCGTGAGAGCGATTGCAACGCTTACACCATTTCAGCAGGTTCGTCATCTGCAGTGTGACAAAACTGCTGCATTACAGAACAAATGCATGAAGATGACTGGGACCCTTACTGTAATTATACCCTAAATACGTTACTATTGTAAGCTAGCAACAACAGCAGCAACACAAAAAAATCCTAAGTATTGACAGCATGACTATGTACTAGAGGTTTTCCACTAGCAGACCTACAGCATCTTGCTCTCCAAAATACAGAACAATCTAACAAAAGAAAAAAAAAAAAGTTGCAATTTCAGGCAGCTGTTCAGGTAAAACTAAAGCCAGAAGATTGTTTATTTTAATAAAGCTATTATATGTGCAGCTCCAAATTAGGAATGGCAGGAGACTAGGGGATGCCTAAACCATCACCACCTGTTTGCCCTGAAAATCAATTAAAGTCACACTATCACAGCAATCCCTTCTTAGCTAATAAAAGTTATACAGCTTCAACGTGCAACTTTAGGTGCTTTGTGGGAATGTGCCTGAAATCGAAATCCTTAGTCTCACATTACTTCGATACTAAAGAAAACTCTGAACTAACCACTGTAAAATTTGCCTTTTTGGGGTTAGAGAAGGTGTTAAGGGAAAAGAGATCCCGAACTGCTGTTTCGATGCAGTGGATTGAACTAATATTCAGTAAATTCTAACAATCCAGCCAAGAACATTATATAGAGTTTTAAGTAGGAGAAAACTGAAGTCCTTTATGACACATGCCTGTTCAACATATTCTGTGCTGCAGAACAGATCCAACTTTACAAGTTGAAAGCAAGGGCAGTAGAGACATCCCAAGTGTTTTAGTAATTAAACGAATATGCATAATGAACCATATGCCCAAAGGGCCTGTTCTTCATGTGGGCCAGATTTTTGTTTGAATTTTTAATTTTTATATACAGATGAAACATTTCATGTAATACAGCAACAGTGCAAAGGAACATGCTATGCAGGAAGGGAAGGAGGAACTACCCATGTGAGAACGATCAGAATACACTTGATGAATTCTGCTCCTCAATTTCCGATTCAGAGCCAAGAGGGCTTTTTAAAAAAAAAAAAAAAAAAAAAAAAAATCCTTTTCTCCTTTGAACAGCTGTATTAGTCATCTGCTCAGAGTCTAGAAAAG